GGGTTCACCTAGCATGAATGGTGTAGCTGAAAGACGAAACAGGACTCTTAAGGATATGGTAAGAAGTATGATTGCTCATTCTTCTTTACCAGAGTCACTCTGGGGAGAAGCACTTAAGACAGCAGCTTACATTCTGAATAGAGTACCAAGTAAAGCAGTTGCTAAAACACCTTATGAGCTTTGGACTGGTCGAAAGCCCAGTTTAAAGCATTTACATATTTGGGGATGTCCAGCTGAGGCAAGGCCTTATAGGCCAAATGAAAAGAAATTGGACTCCAAAACAGTTAGCAGCTACTTTATTGGGTACCCTGATCGCTCTAGGGGCTATAAGTTTTATGATCCCACTATAAGGAATATTTTTGAGACGGGAACAGCAACATTCTTTGAGGATGTTGAGTTTGGGGGGAGAAATAAGGTTAGAGACATTAGTTTTGAGGAGGAATTGGCTTCAGATCCAATCCATACAGTTACTTTTGACAATATTCAGGTTCCTATACCTGTTGTTGCTCAAGAAGTAAATCCGGAACCTCAAGATGATAATGTTGAACAACTCCCTGTTCCAGAAGAACAAACTCAACAACCTCAAGAACCAGTGCCATTAAGGAGATCCACGAGAGAAAGGAGAAATGCTATTCCGGATGATTATATTGTATTTCTCCAAGAACATGAGGAAAGTAGTGGAATGTTAGAAGATGATCCAATCAACTTCTCTCAGGCCATGAAAAGTTCTAACTCTCAACAGTGGATTGATGCCATGAATGAAGAGTATAAGTCTATGCAAGACAATAAGGTTTGGGAACTTGTCCCATTGCCAGAAGGTGCAAAACCAATTGGTTGTAAATGGATTTTTAAAACCAAGCGGGATGCAAACGGTAATGTGGAGAGGTATAAGGCGCGTCTTGTGGCTAAAGGCTATACTCAAAAGGAAGGCATTGATTATACAGAGACTTTCTCTCCGGTTTCATCGAAAGACTCTTTCAGAATAATCATGGCACTTGTTGCTCATTATGATCTTGAGTTACATCAGATGGATGTTAAGACTGCATTTCTCAATGGAGACATTGATGAGATGATTTATATGGTGCAACCAGAAAACTTTGTGTCAGGAGACCCAAAGAATATGGTTTGCAAATTAAGGAAATCCATCTATGGACTCAAGCAAGCTCCTCGTCAATGGTATCATAAGTTTCAACAAATAGTTATCTCGTTCGGTTTTGAGATGAACATTGTTGATGACTGTGTATATCACAAGTTCAGTGGGAGTAAGTATATTTTTCTGGTTCTGTATGTGGATGACATCTTGCTTGCCACTAATGATATAGGCATGTTGCACGAAACCAAGAGATTTCTATCAAAGAATTTTGAGATGAAAGATCTTGGGGACGCCTCTTTTATATTAGGGATCCAGATACATCGAGATCGCTCTCGGGGTATTCTTGGATTATCACAAAAGAGCTATATCGATAAGGTACTTAAAAGGTTTGGCATGCAAGATTGCAGACCAGGTGACACCCCTGTTGCTAAAGGAGACAAGTTTAGTCTCAATCAGTGCCCTAAAGGTAACCTTGAAATTCAGGAAATGCAGAAGATTCCTTATGCTTCGGCTGTAGGAAGTCTAATGTATGCTCAGGTATGTACGCGTCCGGATATTGCGTACATTGTTGGGATGTTAGGCAGATACTTAAGCAACCCTGGTATGGATCATTGGATAGCAGTCAAAAGGGTTATGAGGTATCTTCAGAAAACAAAAGATTACATGCTCACATACAGAAAATCAGAGAAATTAGAGGTCATTGGGTATTCGGACTCTGATTTTGCTGGATGCCAAGATAGCAGGAAGTCTACATCAGGCTACATTTATATGTTAGCAGGAGGAGCTATATCATGGAAAAGTGTCAAACAAACACTAGTAGCTTCCTCCACTATGGCAGCAGAATTTGTAGCTTGCTATGAGGCATCCAATCAGGGAATATGGCTGCGAAATTTTGTCACGGGACTGCGCATTTTGGAAAATGTTGAAAGACCACTAAGGTTATATTGTGACAATAAATCTGCAGTAATGTATTCCAATAACAACAGGAGCTCAACTAAGTCAAAACATATTGACATTAAGTTCCTGGTTGTGAAAGAAAGGGTACAGAGTGGACAGATATCCATAGAGCACATTGGGACAAACTCCATGATAGCTGATCCTCTTACTAAGGGACTGCCACCTAAGGTCTTTCATGAGCATACTGCTCATATGGGTGTGGTATTATTTGAGGATATTATGTTTTAGTGGGAGTTTGTATTTGTGGTGCTTTATGTTTGTTTGTATTGTCTGATCAGAATAAAGTTTTCAGTTAAGACACTCTGTTACATTATGTTTGGTTTTGACCTCACTAAGGAGGACCAGTTGAAAATAGACATGTACTGATCACATTGCATGTAATTTTCATGCTGCACATCCATGATTGATCTATGTCGTTTGATTGTATTGGTATATGTGACCATTGATGGGTCGAGTCACGATAAATGTGACGAAGGCCGCTTTGATCCTATATTGATATAGTCAATGGACGAGATTGTTCGGAAATACCCTTTCAGTGATAGCATTTTTTGAGCTCATAAGGTTATACACAATTTAAGGAATCATATGGTGCCCAAGTGGGAGATTGTTGGATTTAATCTAATAAATCTATTTGTGGGCACATATGATTAATCAATGTGTATTGCTATCTTTCAGGATAACCCACTAAAGTGATCAATTAAGTTGGGTTAATTTGGTATTTAAATGATCATGGGGTTATATGTGCAGATACCAGGTTGTAATTGTAATTTATTGAGGGGCTAAATTACAAAAGTACAACATCTATAAATAAGGGGTTATGGTCCCTAACCTAGGGTTACATTCTCTAATTCTCTTCACCCCCATCTAAGAGAGAAATTCGGTTTTAGAGAGAACCCTAAGGTTAGAAGATCCAAAACCCAAAATCAAGATCAATCTATGGATTCAGGTATAAGCTTCCGCTCTCTTATGATTTTGTTAATCTCTTTGAATTAATCATGGCTATATGGTTTTAGATCTTAAGTTTTATGATGTAGATCTATCACTATCTCCTAACTGGGCATCATTTATTTAACCTACAATGATCTTAAGTTGATCTTGTCCTCTGATCAGGCTCAATCATTGAAATCAAACTATACTCTCCCTGAATTTTATATTACTTTGTTTTTATACCTTTTTTTGGCAAGTTGCTCCTTCAGGCATTATGCATTTGTAACCTTTGCTAATCATGTTTGTCCTTTGTAGGCGGCTTAATGACAATCAATTAACTGGGCAAATCCCAAGAGAACTTGTTGGAATTTCTAGCCTGAAAGTTGTGTAAGTTGGTTTTGGTTTTCACACTCGTCAAGATTATCTGTGCAGTAAGCCAGTAACTTCTTGCATTGGTTAATCACATTCTTTTGTGCTTCCAGAGACGTCTCTAGCAACAATCTATGTGGGACATGTCACGCCCCGAAACTGCAGCGGAAATTCATAAAATACGGGGTGTACGACAGCAGTGACCCGTGCACGAGACAATTCTTATGCACGGGTCAAGCCTGGCACTTCATATCACATAGTTTATCATAAAATATTAATAACCTGCTGATGATAGAAGTCAGAACAACTATATATGTATATAATCGGTACTTACAGCCCATAAACTTACCGTTATAAACATTTTTACAAAACAAAACAAATGGTGCTGAAGGTAACATCAAAAAGAAGAGGCTCTCCATATAACGCCTCTCAGCCAAGAGCCCTAACCAAAAGTTCGGCTAGTATGAAGCTACACCGGATCTGAAATTTTTTTTAGAAACAACAGGATGAGCTAACGCTCAGTGAGAACATTTCTCACTAGAGTTCCTAGATAACTAACAAAATAGTAATAAGAATAAGTCTCAGAAATAACAAATTATAAGTTTTGCATGAGAATTTCAAAGATAGCAAAATACGATTACAAATATCATAATATTGTCGGTTGCAAGAAAGATTGTAACAATTGTATTTTCTTTCTTATGTGCAGCTGAATATACAGTGACGTTTCGTGGAATCAAACATTTTTTGAATGCATGTAAGCATTAAGAAAGAAAAGAACTACTAATTTGTACAAAACCAGAGAATTATTGGTTTCTCAATTTCATAGTCAATTATCAGAATCTTAATTCTCGATGAGTTATTTATGAAGGTAAAAGTCAACCCATAGGTCACACTAAGGCTACGAATTATAGCCCAGTAGCAAGGGAATGCGTAAACCACATCACATAATAGATAATTCTCAAGAATCGAATGCACCTAACACTATAGGTTACTGGCCAAATATAGAGGGGTCAGAACAAATTTTAGAAGGGCCAATACAGAAGGGCCAATACAGAGGGGCCAAATAAAGGTGTATTCACCATATGGTAGGCAGAAACAATTCATAATGGACTATTTGAGGGTTTGAAAACATTGAGATCACATGTCCAATGAGTAATACTTTGCATATCAGAATTTACAGGTATTTTTAAATGAAGTTGACAAGGTAAAACTTCTTATCCCAGTTAAAACAGTTTACGAATTTTTAATTTTTTTCTTTATTATTATTATTTTTTATCAGATACCAAGTCACAGAAAATCTTTGAATCCGTTAAACCGTTGAAATATGTTCAAAAATACTTTATTAAAAACTTTTAGATAAAGCAATGCCTACAATTAGTTGAAACAGCATGAGAGCCAAATTTGCTTTTCATAGTTCGTATAAAATCAAATTGATTTTTTTCCATATCTTGTACAAAACAATATCATATTTATGGTTTACGCCACAACAAGGTAGATAAAATCTTTATATACATGAAAATGATATATTATTTTTCGATTACAAGATAAATCAAATATAATATTCATGTTTATATACATGAAAATGATATATTATTTTTCGATTACAAGATAAATCAAATATAATATTCATGCAATTTCATATTATAAATTTTCGATTACAAGATAAATCAAATATAATATTCATGCAATTTCATATTATAAAATACTAGTGAGAAATGTACTCACCTCTAGTGGACACGATTATCCCAAAATATTAGTCTCATTGATATCAACCAGATCCTTAACTGATTTTGAACTTGGGGGTGTTGATCACGTTCCTTCCTTTCCTCTCCTATTCCTCCGTTCTCCTACTTGTTCATTTAGGTTTGGAAAAGAAACAGTGGAAATGTGAGAGAGAAACGAATGAGGGTTTTCTTAGGTTAACAGACACTAAATACTTATCCTGCCACCTCAACTCTCCTATAATAAGAGGCCAACACATATTTAAGAAGCTGTAAACGGGACAGCTCAAGCTGGTAAACTTCTCTCTCTTTTTTTTATATATTTATTATATATATATATATATTTATATATAATCATTTTTTATATGTTTTTTTCTAGGCTATTACAGGTCAATTCCAACTTATGGACCTTTTGAACACATCCCCTTGAACAAGTAAGCTCAAACTAGTTTGATCTTTTATTTCCATTTTTAAAATTTTGTATTATTTTCTATAATTTTTACCTGTCAACTGGAGGCTGAGTATTATAATTCAAAAGTACATACATTTCAATTTAATTAATTTTAGGTCTACATCGTATCTTGAAGTTCCAGAATTTCCAATTTCTTACTTTTATTGAGATATCACTGTTAATTTTTTTTGTTTTGCAATCCAGTTTATAGTTTGTACAGAATAAAAATCAATGGGTTCTGGTGTTAAATGCATAGGTCAACACTATGTTTTCCAACTTTCATAAATTGATAATGTTAGAATATAAACAATAACTTTCAACCCTCACCATAAGTTTAGAGTTCAGGTATAGTGACAGGGTCATTGACATGGTATTAGAGCAATATTGGTTCAAATCCTACTAGCCACAAATTTCTAAAATGAATTAAAAAAATTCCGCTGCAGGAGTTCAGCTTTCGACCCATAGACAAGGATCCTCATTTACTTAACCCTTTCTTTTTACGGTCATGTTTTGGAGCGAACCTAGTTATTGATCCGATGACAGAAGAGGAAGCTTGCCAAGATGGAAGCCTCATGATCACATGTATGCCAACTCGTCACGAGATCACTCAACTCACTCTCACTGGAGAATGGTCGACTGCCAAAATCAACGAGGTATGCATACACAAAGGATTTTCATTGTAGAGGATTAAGGATATCTCACTAGCGCAATTGTTCTCTTCATAACTTGGTTATGATTTCTTTTGAATAGGCAATGGATCTATGCCTTGATGCTTGTTCAAAGTTTGCCGGCATCATGAGATCATGTCTAAAGGAATCAGTCTCTTCATAAAAGCTAATTCTTGGAGTACCTACTTGTTAGTGAGAGAGAGAACCTTATTTTTTGCTGTTTCTCACTTTGTAACTCAATGTTTTTGTTGTGTTGTATAATGATGTATACATTTTGTTAACATAGATTATTAGATTAGGTAAAAACTCGATTATCTTACTTGTAGAATTGATCCTTTTTTTTGCTTAATTTTTTCAATACACATAGTAGATTCCTAAAAAAACAACTACTTAGCATCCGTCTAGGATGTTTCTTAAACGGAATTTTCGTCTAGGATTATTCTAAACGGTTGTCTTTCCATCTAGAACTATTCTAGACAATATTTTGTTCCGTCTAGGATGCATTTTCGTCTATGATAGTTTTTCTAGATGGAATTCTGTCTAGAATGACGCATTCTCAATGAAAACTTACCAGACCAACATCCTAGATGGAATTCCGTTTAGGATTATCAATTTAGACAGAAATTTGGTTATTCTAGACGGAAAATTTCGTCTAGAATGCTATGTTTTTTACTAGTGCTAAAAGCTACAATTTGTGGTTAAAATTAATTTCTAGCCTCTATTTAAGGCTTATTAATCTAGATTGGGCTCAATTTCCCCTAATAATGCATAACTTGTTGGGGATTCGAAACAATTAAATCGAACTCTTGCCTTTCTGGACCTTGTGTTGAAAGTAGGAAAGTAGGAAAATTCACCACAAATAAAGATCAAAACTTGTAGGAATAATAAAGGAGACAAACACACAGATTTAATGAGATTCGGCAACGTGCATACGTCCTTGGGAGTCACATCACACAATTCTTTTATTGATTGAAGAAGAAATACAAGCTCTTAAACTAGGGTTTTATCTCTCTGAGATCTCTCTATCAAAAGCTCTCTCTTTTGATGCTTTTCTGATGCCTAACAAACCTTAAAAAACGTTTGGGTATTTATATCAAACCCAGTCCAAACTGATTTCCCGAACTCATAAGGAATCTGGCAAACAGCGTCGCGATCGATCGCGATGGTCGACCGCGCAGGTATCGCAGTCCACCGCGCAGGTATCACGGTCGATCTCGGCGGTAGATCGAACCAAAACCCGAGAGCAGAAAACATTACAGGGTTGGCGCGGTCGACCGCCGCGGTCAACCGCCTTCAGCTCCAGCCTCTCCCTGACTCCTGTGCACGTTCGCGGTCGACCGCCGCTGACTCGCGGTCGACCGCCAGGCTGACTGGCAGTTCTCCTGGACTTTTGGACTGTGTTCTTCGTGATTCCATCTTTGCTTTCAACTTTGGGTCTACACTTTAGACTAATAATCTCCAACTTGGAGACCAAAGTGCCATCAGTGAGTTCACCCGAACTCTCCCCTTCTTCGCATGTATCTTCTCCTCCCCGGAAAAATCCTTTCTTCAATCAACAATATCCCGACGATCCTCGTAGTGTGGCTCCGCTTTCGTCTTCTACTCGTGAATGCCAACTGAAGTTGCGCATAACTCCAGTTTCTCAATGGTGACTGTCTCCGTTAACATGTCCGTCGGATTTTGACTCGTCAAAATCTTCATTAAGTGTAACTTTCTGTCTTCAACTAGCGAGCGTATAAAATGATATTTGACGTCGATGTGCTTCGTTTTGGCATGATATACTGGATTCTTGGAAAGATGTATAGCGCTCTGACTATCACAATAAAGAACTTCTCTCCCTTGCTTCAGATCTAACTCTTCCAAGCACCCGTTCAACCAGATCATTTCCTTGCTTGCTTCGGTCACCGCGACATACTCAGCCTCGGTTATAGATAAACAATCTTCTGTAGACGTGAGACCCAGATCATTGCTGTCGATGCTAAGGTATAAACATACCCCGTGGTGCTTCGCCTCGTATCATAATCACCGGCGAAGTCCGCATCCACGTATCCCTGCAGCACCAACTCCTTCCTCCTGAAACATAGTGGTTTGTTAGTTGTTCCCCTCAAGTATCGTAATATCCACTTCACGGTCTCCCAATGCTGCTTCCCTAGATTGCTTGCAAACCTGCTCATAACTCCCACTGCATGGGCGATGTCCGACCTCGTGCAAACCATCGCGTACATGAGACTTCCAATGGCCGAAGAATATGGTACTCTGCTCATATGCTCTCTATTTGCATCTGTCTTAGGCGATTTATCATCAGATAGCTTGAATTGACTTCCAAGGGGCGTGCTAACAACTTTAACATTCTACATGTTGAACCTCTGAAGTACCTTCTCAATGTATTCAGCTTGGCTCAATCTCAACGTCCCTTCAGCTTCATCCCTACTAATTCGCATCCCTAGAATCTGCTTTGCTGCACCCAGATCCTTTATTGCAAACTCTTTTGCTAGCTGCTTCTTTAAATTGTTTATATCTTCTAATTACGGTCCTGCTACCAACATGTCATCAACATATAATTACAAGATGATGGAGCTGGACTCGAACTTTTTAAAATAACAGTAATGATCCGTATTGTATTTTATGTAGCCATTATTTTGCATAAAGTTATCAAACTTCTTGTACCACTGTCTCGGAGTCTGTTTCAAACCATATAAGCTCTTCTTGAGCTTGCACACCATCTCTTCCTTTCCTTCTTCAATGAAGCCAACATGCTGCTTCATGTAGATTTATTCATCCAAGTCACCATGAAGAAAGACAGTCTTCACATCTAACTACTCAAGAAAGAGGTATTCTGCAGCTACCAAACTCAACACCACTCTGATGGTTGTGAGCTTCATGACAGGGAAAAATATCTCCATGTAGTCCACTTCTTCCCCCTCTTGAAACCCCTTCACTACTAATCTGGTCTTGAATCTCTTGCTTCCATCACTCTCCTACTTGACCCGGTAGACCCATTTGTTATGTAAGGCCTTCTTCTGTGCAGGTAGCTGGCTAACTCTCATGTCTCATTAGTGAGTAGAGAATCCATCTCCTCCCGCATCTCATGCACCCACTGCTGAGATTCACTCATTTACATAGCCTCCTCATAGCACTCCGGTTCACCGCTATCTGTCAATAATAAGTAATCAAGAGATGAAAGACATCTGGGATTTGGTTTGGGTACCCTGGATCACCTCCTAAGCTCCACGCCATTGGTAGTTGTTTCTGTACCTAGAGCCTCCTCCGTTCTATGGTCAGAACAAACATCATCACCCCTATCTGAAAGTTCCTCTAAATCCATGTACTCGGATCCACCTGCATCCGTAGTGCTGCTCCCGCTGCTTTGGCTATCATTGGTATTTTCCCTGTTCTTGTACATCACCTCCTCATTGAATATCATGTCCCTGCTTCTGATGATCTTCATGTTCTTCTCATTCCAAAGACGATACCCGAACTCATCAATGCCGTACCCAATGAATGTGCACTTCTGTGACTTAGCCTCTAGCTTGTCTCTGACATGGTCACTGATATGAACATAAGCCACACAACTAAATACCCACAAGTGTGAGAGATTTATCTTCTTTCCACTCCAAACCTCCTCTGGAATCCCAAAATCCAATGGAACTGATTGTCCGTGATTAATAAGGTAAGCTGCCGTATGCACCACATCCGCCCAAAATGTCTTAGGCAGACCTGCATGTAATCACATGTTCCTGGCACACTTCGTCAAGGTTCTGTTCATCCTCTCTGTAATGCCGTTCTGCTGCGACGTTCCTGGAGTAGTCCTCTCTAAACAAATACCATTTGTAGCACAGAACCTCTTAAACTCCTCTAGCTCGTATTCTCCACCATTGTCTGATCTCAGACACTTCACCTTCAGATCTGTCTCGTTCTCCACTATGGCCTTCCACTTCTTGAAGACTCTGAACACCTCTGACTTGTGCTTCATAAAGTAGACCCACACCTTCCTCGAGTGATCGTCGACGAAGGTGACATAATATCTCGAACCGCCAAAAGAAGACACACTGGCTAGACCCCATACATCTGTATGAATTAACTCTAGCTTCTGAGCCTTAGGTGAGATTCCACCCTTCTGGAAACCAACCCTCTTCTGCTTCCTAAAGATGCAGTCTTCACAAACCCCGACTTCCATAGAGTCGATCTCTATTAGCTTTTCCTGTGAATGTAAGATTTTCATCCCCTTCTCGCTCATGTGCCCTAGCCTGTTGTGCCACAGAACTGTACTCTCTTTGCCAGTTACAATTGCGAGGGTGTCACTCGCATGTAAGGTGAGATAGAGAGTCCCTAGTTTGTTGTCTCGAGCAACTATCATCGTACCGTTAGAGATTCTCCACAAATCCCCTGTGAATATTGAAACATAACCTTCTGCTCCAAGCTGTCCCACCGAAATAAGATTCCTCTTCAGCTTCAGCATGTGTCTCACGTTCTTCAAGGTCCACTTAGAACCCTTCATCTGAATCTGTACTTCACCCTTTCCAACAATATTACAAGGCTCGTTATTCCTCAAATAAACTTTTCCAAAGTCCCCCGCTACATAATTCTGGAGAAGCTTCCTATTAGCAGTGGCGTGGACAGTGATCACAGGTGAAAAGTCACTGTAGGCATTGTGCAAGCAGGGGCTATTAAAGGGAGCCAAAAGTGGGAAGATTGAGTTCTGTGAGCACTGTGTTCTTGGCAAGAAGACGAAGGTGAAGTTCAGGACTGTCATTCAACAGACGCGGGGCATCCTGGACTACGTACACACAGATGTTTGGGGTCCCACCAAGACTGCATCACTTGGTGGTCGACATTGGTTCGTCACGTTCGTTGATGACTATTCTAGGCGTTGTTGGGTGTACATCATGACGGAGAAGAGTGAAGTCCTAGATTTGTTTGTGGAGTGGAAGAAGAGATTAAAACTACAGAATGGGAGAAAGATCAAGACGTTGTGATCCGACAACGGTGGTGAGTATACTTCTGACCCCTTTCAGCAACTATGTCGAGACGAGGGTATAGAGAGACACTTCACAGTTAGTCATACACCGCAGCAAAATGGGGTGACAGAGAGGTTGAATCGGTTTTTACTGGAGAAGATCCGATACTTATTATCGTAGAGTGGTTTAGAGAAGATCTTTTGGGTTGAGGCACTTACATATGTGAGCCACCTTATTAATAAGCTACCTTCATATGCGATTGAGGGGAAGACCCCAATAGAGAAGTAGTCGGGAGAGCCAGCACATGACTATGACCAGCTCAAGGTATTCGGGTACCCTGCATTTTTATCATGTGAGAACA